CATAATTTATTCATCATATTTCCATGAACCCTTTGGAGACCCTTCACACGTTCTTCTCATTGCCATTCTGCAGTCGTGTTACCTAGGTACAATCATTGGTTCTAAGAAAATATTTCTTTGAACTTTCCAAGAGGTATTCTAATTTTCTTTAACTGTCTATCTGTTCATAGCTTTTCTGCCCAAACTGCCAGGCTACAAAGGAAAGAAAAAGGTTTCCCAACATCTTAGCCACTATCCAGTGATTTCATTTGCCCCTTAGTAAATGCAGTTGTAGTTACAGTAATATAATAGCAATGATAATCAACTATCTTATACTAGAGAGCACTTACTAGTTGTAAATATGTTGTAATAAGTGTTTTATCTGCATGACATAATTTAATCCTCACAGCCACCCCAGGAGATGTTTTATTGTTCACATTTTATGGTTAAGGTACAGAGAGGCTGTATAACTTACTCACATTCACATAGCTAGTTATTGGCAATCACAGGACCTTCTAAGGCCAGCTGGGTAGCCCTCGACTTTGTGCTCTTCACCTGTATGTCTATTGATCTCTCACAAGCAGTTGTCTTAGCTCTTTTGCAGCATCTCTGGTAACTGTAAAGGAATATGATATTTTTAGGAGATTATACCTTTTTGGGACAGCTCTATCATACATTTAAAAATATTTTATTCAATTATTAATTTATTTTTAGAGAGTTTTTTTTTTTTTTTCTGCTATAGGGCACGTGTGCTCGCCATAAAGACAGAGAAAAAGAGACAGAAAGTGAGAAGTCACCCCTCAGGGGGGAAATGGCCATGCTACAGTCCCTTCTCCTTCATTCTCCTCTCTGGATTTTGGGCACACACGCACACGCACCTGGCATAAGTTCTAAGCCGCCAGACCCAGGACTCGAACCACAGTTCGCCATGTGGGAGTCCAGCAAAGTAACCATTATGCATCTGCTAGTCCCCCCAATTTTTTTCATACATTCAATAAATGTATATCATAACAGCATACACAATGAATATTGCCAGCATGAATACTGTATCACACAGTTTTGAAGGTATTAGTCACTTTAAAAACTTGGGCTTGAGTAAAGATAATAAAATATGGAGGTTTTCTAGCCTTTGTCCTTTGAGGATGAATCATAATTTAATGGAAGTATGTAGGAGATCTCAGTGGGAATTTGTGGCTAGACGAGAAGAAACCAGTCCTCTTTCTGGCATTATAATCTACTCCCACCTGTTTGGGTTTAGTTTCAGCCTCATCCAAGTTAATTTTCTAGTGCTCAGCAATGTGGTGGCTCACCCAGCGTTTACACATGAATCTGAGCTCCCCTACTTAACAATTCTGTGATCTTGGGCAGGTTATTTAATGCCCTCTTATCTCAGTTCCTTCATTGTAAAATGAACAAACTTATTCATATGATTGTTGGGAGAATTCAATGATATGATGTTTATAAAATATTTATTTTAGTGTTCGGCATTCTCTAAATTCAGTACCATTAGCAAAGTCTGGACAGATAACAGGAGGGTTGTAGATAATATGCTAAAGTTCCTCTTTTCAAAATTAATTTGTTAATTATAGCATTAATGATAACTCACCAATACCATTATGAAACGTCATAATATGATTTCCACTAAAGTGGTAAAGATACTCCATTTCATGAAAGTCCCAAAATGGGACTGAAAAATCTGAGTTTGATGTGCTGTTTAGAGTCAAACCGAGATACAGATATTCCAACTATAATACAACAGTAGAGTGTTTTGAGTCAGGAAAACAATGTAAAAAATAACTAGAGGTAGGAACAAACTTATGTATGTGCAGGACAGTGATGGGGCCACTCCATCAGAGAAGAGGATTTGCTTCAAGAACATTGGGAGACCAGACCAGATAGGTAGGGATGGACCAGGCTTTTGAAACATTCCATAAAACTGTGCATACCCCCACCTGCTTCTGTTCCTTAGAGTGCCTTTCATGGACAACTCTGGATGAGAACATCGTCACCATTCTGAACGTGCAGTTTAAGTACTCCCTTTCTACAAGGGGGCTTTTTCTTTTTATTAGAAGGAGCTTCTTCCTTCCTATGGCATCTCAGTCCAGATCACCTTTATTTCTGTTATCTGGTGTGACCATGCTTGCCAGTTTGCCTGCTAAAAGATAAGGTCACCTACTTATAACTCATATCATTTCTCCCTCTGTCCCAGTTATATCTTGATGTTTGGTGGCCCCTATTTAAATGTTCATGTAAGTAGAAACCATATTTACTATCCTCATCTTTCCAGTAGAGAACATTATCACTATTTACTAAATGATTTTAAATAAGATTAAAAACTCTTAGAATCAGGACTAAGCAGGTGGCATGGTGGTTAAGGCTCTGGACTAATACTTTCTCTTTCTTGTTTCTCTCTGGTGCATGCATGTGCCCTATAGCAAATCAAAATAATAATAAATAAAATGAAATAATTCTAAAAAAAACCCCTTGGAATCTGGAATCCAGTTCTATAATTTTAGGCTGTATGTATTCGTGTGTGTGTGTGTGTGTGTGTGTGTGTGTGTCAGAGTGAGAATGAGATTGTGTGTTCCTAACACTGTCTGGAATTGTGCATGCACATACTAGGTACTTGATAGGTCTGTAAATTTGATTAGACAACCACAGGGTTGCATCCACAGCGTTGTACTATTTCTGGAATGTGCTAGAGACTAGAAGTATGTTTTCATAAATCTTCTCTTCTGGTGTCTGCTTGCTGACCTGTATATGTTCCTCACAGTTTAGATTGGTCTTAAGACCTAAAGAAATTTTTCTTTGGAAAACCGCAAGTGTTAAGTCAACAGTGAGATGGGAGTGTGTGTGCTTTACCTCATCTGTGTGAGGGTGACTAAAACAACTCTACATTTCAGAATTTAATCTTTATTACTTGATCCCTCTTAGGAAGTTTAAAATAAAAATTAATGAAGATGGATGATATTTCCATTGATTGGGTACATTGATTTAACAGCTCACTTAACAAACTATATTGAACTTTTAGTTTTGTTCCAATTAGTGTTATTTCTTTGGTGTTTCTAGTTGGGATTTTGAATTCTTGTTTTATAACCTTCTACTATTTAAATAGTCTTACTTGATTTCCCTTCCGATTTGTAAGAAGTTATATTAGCAGATACGCAAGGGAATCAAGTGTATAAATTTTCCCATATTATTTACTTACAGAAGAATCATTTGGATAAATCTACAAATTTACTGATTATAAGAAGAAAGCACAGTCCCCTGTGAAATCTTGGCTTTACAATCTTTTAGTATATATCATAGTGTTAGATCCACTTTCCAGCAAATGTGTGGATTAAGACAGCCTTCGTGATTTGAATATATAGAGCCATATCACTGCATATCAGGCAACCAGAGGTTAAATTTTGAGCCCTAAGAAATGGGCTAGTTGGAAAAGAGAAGTAAGCTGGTAAAAAGCTCTCAAACAGAGTCCCAAGAGTAAACCCTTCTCCTACTCACAGCTCAGTCCACTGCTCAACAGTGCTCCCACGGACGGCGCTGCTCTTACAAAAGCACTTGTCATAAATGCTCCTCTGCTGGGTTATGTTTGCTAGTCCTTCCTCTCTACATTTACCCTCTTTATTCTATTGATAATAAAGCCACGGGATCTCTCACATAGATTTCATTCATTAGTTCATTCATTCATTCACTTAAGTATTTACCTACCTACTTCCCTCCGAGGAAGGTTTCCCAACTTTGGCACCATCACTGGTTTGGACTGTCACCTCCCGTGTGGTGGTGGGCTTTCTTGTTCTCTGTGACATGGTCAGTAGCATTCCTGAGCTCTGGCCACTAGATTCCAATAACACATCTTGGCTCCAGTCCTGACATCCATAAATATCTTCAGATATTATAAAATGTTTCCAAGGAGAGAGGGTGCAGAGTTGCTTGCTGTTAGCCACTGCCTGGAACTTCCTTGGAAACCCTTTCGGAATGGGAAAGAAGTAATGGCTTTAAGTGCAGCACTTACTAATTGTGTGACTGCCATAGCTGTCTGACTTCTGTAACACTCAGTTTCTTTTTCTTTTTTAATTTGCCAGAGGGTGCATGTGCACTCACTGGAGAGAGACAGAGAGGGAAAGAAAGAGAGAAAGTGAGAAAGCATCCCCTGGGGATGATGGCCACACCATAATTTTTTCTCCATCTCCCTCTCAGAATTTTGGGTATGTCAGGACCAGCAGTTGGTGTAATGGCTATGTTGCTGGACTCCCATGTAGTCAACTATGGTTTGAGTCCCAGACCTGGTAGCTTAAACTCACGCTAGGCACATGTGCATGTGTACCCATGATCCCAAGAGGAGAATGAAGGAGAAAGGATTGCAGCATGGCCATTCCCCCCTGGGAGGGGTAATTTCTCACTTTCTGTCTCTCTATCTCTCTATGTCTTTCTGGCTAGCGCACAGGCCCTATAGCAAAAACCTCTCCAAAAAAAGAAAAAAGAATTTTGGACATGTATGTACATGTGTCCATAATGGTTTTTTTTTTTTTCTCTTTTACTTTTTTGTTTTTAGATTTTTGTCAGGGAGTGTGTATGTACTCCAGAGAGGGACAGAGAAGAAGGAAAGTGAGAAATCACCCTCAAGGGGTGACAGTCATGCTGTGATCCCCATTCCTCCATTTTCCCTTTAGCAATTTTGGGCACACACACAGGCACATACACTTGGTATGTTTTTCAAGCCACTGGGTCCAGGACTTGAACTGCACATTCAGCTCTATGGAATCCAGCAGCGTTAACCACCATACCACGTCCTTGCTCTACACTGTTTCTTTACTGGCAAACTGCGAATGATAGCATCCATTTTTCAGCGTGGTTGAAATTTTCAACATGTCCAATATGGGAACTGCTAGGCAGGCCATGCAGTTCCTGTATGTGGTGGTCACTGTCATTCTTATTTGTTGATTCTCAGCTTCCTCTTCCAACACCACTGATTCCAACTTAAGAAAAAGTGTATCTCTTTCTCTCTCACCTGCATACAGAGCACGATGAGTGTGGCAGCGGGCAGCACAACTGTGATGAGAACGCCATCTGCACCAACACTGTCCAGGGACACAGCTGCACCTGCAAGCCGGGCTACGTGGGGAACGGGACCATCTGCAGAGGTAGGCATGCCATGCCAGGGGCCAGCTGCTAGCTGCTGCCTTGCCTGGCCTCTTGGTGCTCATGTGTAGGCCCTCCACCACCTGGGGGTTGGACACAGCCAGGCCCTGTGTCTGTTCTAGCAGCTGGCAAGGGCACTTTGCTGCGGAGAAAAAGAAGAAGCCTTTGGTTTAACTTTTAGGTTGAAAGAAATACATGTGGGTGGGGGCGTGGCCAGGGGTCAGTTTCCACAACTTGGTGGCTCTGTTCAGCTTTGTCTCTTGGCCTCAGTTTGCCAGGGAGGCTCTGGTCGTCCTTGGGCCTCTCTTCCCTATGGGCTTTGAAAGGGCGAGGGTCCCTGTTCACGCCCATACTCAAGGTATATGCCTGGGTAGGAACATTAAATTGCAGTCCTTCTCTGTGCTTGGGAGCAGGCTAGCAATTCAGAGGCCACTACCCTGGTCTCCCTCTGGATTTAGAATAAGAACTCCTCCTCTGACTTTCTCCTTAGGAAGACATTCAGTATCCAGTCCATGGCTGATATCTCCCTCTGCTGTCACCCTCAATCACTCTGCATCAACCCTGGTTCCCTGTTGCTATCCTCTTGGTCTCAAAGCACATTTCTTTCAGATCTGTGCTCAAATGTCCCCTCATCACAGAAACATTCTGTGGCTTTAAAAGCAGCATTCCACTCTTTCTTAGCCTGTACCCAGACTGATTTTTTCCTTCATAAACACGATCTGACAACATTATACATTTAGGGGTTTGCCTCTATTAACTGCCTCTGACTAAGATGTAACCTCTCTGACCGTGACCACTTGGTCTAGTCCCCCCA